GGTTCTTGACTGTCTTAGAAATCTTGATTTCCCTTGCCAACTATTGTAAAATAGACATTTGAGGGAGACAGAAAGTAATAGCCAGAAATATGAGTATAGAAAGTTTGTATGTCTGCCTTCAGCCTATAACTGATTGTAATTCCTAAACGGGGTGCTAGAAATTGCCTAGTGAAAGAGGTTGCCTATGGAGCCTTTGTAGTGGATAAGACCTTAGGTGGAATCCTGATCTCCATCTAGAATCTTCTGTGGTAGGAAATTTCCACTTGACAAGGAGACTAGCCTGGAGCAGCTAGAGGAATAGAAGATACTTCTTGAAAGAAAGACCAGCAATAAAAATAAAAATAAAAATGGCAGTCTGATTAACTACCAAGCAAGTTGTCCACAAGGGAGCCATCAAGGCAAGTAATCAAGTCCTTTCAGGTCAAACCCGCTCCCAAGACTGAAACTCAAAGGGACTATGAGCAGGCATGTAATCTTGCTGGAGACCATGTTCGTCTACTGATGAGGGGAAGTGTGTAAAAAGCTGTAATGAAGATGTGGGCTGAGTGACCACTTTACATAGCCTCCCGTCACTCTGGCATATGGTGAAACTTGCCTGGCCAGCAATATGGTGAGACCTGGGAACTCCTGAGCCCATGGACAAGAAAGGGCATAGCCACAGAGGGCTAGAGCAGAGAGTGAAGTGTCCAGCTATTATGAAGTAAGGGGAGATTCACAGGAACAGCCATACTTTCAGAAAGTACCCATAGTACCCATTTGACCTAGCTTCAATGGCTGGATGATAGGAACTCGACTAGAGGAACAAAGAAAAAAAAATATATATATATATATTTTGGTAATGAAAACAAGTGTAATTTGCTACAATTTGATGAACTTGACCTATATTTATGGATGTAGTACCTTAAAATACCAGCCAAGAGGGAAGTGCTCTTTACAGCAAGGATTATTCCCATCCCCTCTGTACATAGGGGTGATAGGGATGGAGCAACTTAAGACACTGGCTACCTAAAATTGGTGGGGGTTGGGAGGCGGGAAAAAGGCACAAAGTGACTGGCTTACAAATTTTCAAGAGGGAGTTTAGGTTTAGAGGTTGCGGGGGAAGGTAGAACCTCTACTGAGTGGTTTTCAACTTATCTAGACGGGCCTGGTGAAAGGAGATGTGGTTCGCTATTGAACCACTCTTGTGGCTTAATAGTTAATAATTGTTATCAGGATTGATTGCAATTGTTGCAACTGTAAAGGTAATCATTTTGTAGCAAAAAGAGGGGAGTTGTTGATCTTGCCGTCCAGGAGCCGGAGGATCGTGGGGCCATAAAGGGAGGAGAGCGGGAGTGGAGTGTAGGACCCTATTCAGAGAAGAAGCGATACCAGAGATGGAGGCAGAGGTGATGACATGGAGAGGTGGAGCAGCTGGGGACTCTAGACTCATGGAAGGAGATGGGCTGTGTGCTGGCAGCTGGTGGCAGGCTTGCAGAGTATGTCCTTTGGCTGTTTGAATGATTGCATATTCCTGAGTGTTTTGATGTACATAAAAAAAAAAAAATTGAAAAAAAGAATAGAAGCAAAATCTATTGAATGATGATGCATGGAGGGGATTGTAATCATTGCAATGAAACGAAATACGATAGGATAAGTATAAAGCTGATGTTCTCCCATGTAAACTATCACCAAATCAAATAAAAACTTATAACAAAAAAAACCTTAATTTTCAGTTTTCTTGATCTGCTTTGTAAACCTTCACTGTATTCAGAATAAACTATTTAACAACAACAAAAAAGTCCATTCCATCAAATTGTTGCAACTGATGCTTGCTCAGAGTATCATACATCGTCATATTCATCCGATCAGGTTCTAATCAGCTCAACAACCCAAGCCGTCCAAGCTACCATCTACTGATTTTAAAATATGTTTAAATGTGTTTTGTTTGAAATAAACCCATGCATGTATAAACTTGAACACTAGTACAATAAATTATTATTTGCCTCATATTATGTTATGTAAATAGTTCCAGTAATCAATAAGAACAGATCAACCATCAGCGTAGAATTGTGCAAGTGATCTAAATGACAATTTATAGAAAAGTAGATAATAGCAAAACCACTCAGCGATACCATTTTTGAAGTTACAGTCATGTGTCACTTAACCATACACGATATGTTCTGTAAAACAGGACATTATGTGATTTGGACATTGTGGAAGCACCGTATTATATTGAGGCAGACCCAGATTATGAATGAGTTAAATTATGAATAAGTTCTCTTTCTCAATTTGTCTTTATATCAAATTAACCTGTAAGTCAGATTAGTTATTATAGTTTATATCTGATATCTAACATTGTTATAGTACCTTTCTATGCATAATACACATTAAAGAAATACTTCTGTATGCATTAAAACATCTTTAGCATAATAATACAATACCAATAATAATAATGTTTTGATGCACATTGTGATGTAGCAGCATATGTTTTTATGAACTTATGTATATACCTTGGGCATTTAATATTATTGGGTTTACAGGGGTTGGGACCATGGATTTATATTTCATTGGATAGAGCCCAAATGAACACTATGCATTGTATGACTGTATTTATTGGTAGTGATTGCATAGTTTGTAATACAAATGTGTTCACTGTATCCTAACACATTACTTCCATATAGTCACTGTACCATAAAAAAGCAGCCCTGGTGACTCAGTAGTTAAAGAAATTGGCTGCTGACCAAAGGATCATGATTCAAGCTGCTCCATGGGTAGAAGATGTGATGGTCTGCTTCCAAAGAGTTTGGCTGATTGGGACATTAGCCTTAGAAGCCCTATCTATGCTCTCATGTAGGATCCCTATAAATTGGAATTGACTTGATGGCAATGTTGGATGCCAAAAAGAATTGGTCACATGTAGCCACTTCAGGAGGTAGCCTGTGGCCAAGAACTTTTTGTACTGAAGGAAGATGCTCAAGCTGCACTGAAGGCATGAGAAAAAACAAGTCTTTAAAAATTTCACAGAGTTTCAATTGAGGTATTTCTACAAATGAATGCAATGTTGGAAATGCTTACTTGTTTATATTAAGAAATGTGGAAGACAACAACTTAGCCAGATGACTGACAGAAATGCTAATTTCAAAGAAAGTTGATCAATCAGAATGTGAAAATTATTGGACAATATCATTAATATGGCATGCAAGCAAAATTTTGCTGAAGATAATTCCCAAATGGCTATAGCCAGAAGGTAAGTCCAGGTTCAGAAGAGGATGTGAAATGAGAGATAGCCTTACTGATGTCAGATAGATTTTAACTGAAAGCAGAAGATAACAGAAAAGTGTGTTCCTGTGTTCTATCAACTATGTGAAGAATTTCAATTGGTGGATCATGCCAAATTATGGATAGCATTGCAAAGAATAGGAACTTGAGAACACATTATGCTTATGCAGAACCTGTTCATGGCTTAAGGTTTCCCATACACTGTTGCCAGCACAGTTATATTCTTTTAGGGTACCTTTTTAGGGACAGTTTCCTACTTCGCACAAGTAGTTTTTAATTTACTTTGAATCACAGATCTCTGAGAAAAATCTAACTGGAAAATCTTTATGTAGAATATACTATTTTGCATATTATTTTGAGTGCTTCATGTTCTCCTGATGCTCATTCATAGGCCTCTAGGTTAAATATGTGTTTATATAAAAAGTATTTGATTCACAAGGTAGAGGAATAGCACTATTCTGTTAAGTAGAAATCATGAATTATCTTTGATGCTCTACTTTTTCTGACTGTAAATATTAATGAGAGTGGGTTGTGAGCTGGATTGTTGGACTGTGAACTGTGTTGCTCCTTCTGGGTTACCATTTACTGTTTAATCTTTTTGCTACTCAGCCTGGAACATCAGGCAAAAGCTCAGTTTGGACAGTTAACAAGGCATCAGAAATGTAGCCTGCAGATTTTTCTGATTTAGTCAACATGTGTAACATCTTTTTAAATTCTGATGCATTAGTTCTAGTTTGGACTTGTGGTGTGGTGCTGTAGGATCAACACTGGACTGCAAACAACAAGGTTGGCAGTTCAAACCCACGAGCTGCCCCTTGGAAACCCTTTATAGGTTGATAAGAATCAGAACCGACTCAACATTAGTAACAACAACAATTCTAGTTTGCCACTGTCTTCACTATTCCCTACTGTGTTACACCTGTTACTCTTTGCTCATTTATCTTTGGCCTGTGAGGCATTTTAATTTATGGCCTTGGCCTAGAGACTGAAGATGTCTGGGCTGGTATTAGTAGATAGACATTCATTTATACATGGTGTATGAACTGAGGTGATTACTAGGAACTTTGAAGGCAAACATTAGGTGACCAGTTGACCTCTTTGTCCAGACTTGGGGCTTCTTGGGTTTGTGGGACTTTAATTTCTAATGCTAGCTAGCATCACTTTTAGGCCAGTCAGGATAGTTGGGCACCTTAGGAGACATTTCATTAGAAGCTTACAGGGAGACTTAATATTTGTGATTGTTCCAGATGAAATCCCATGCAAAGTACCATACTTAGATGCTCCAACTCTATGAAGCTATTGTTAATTTGAATCTTTTAAATATAAAAGCTAATGTCAGAACCCCTTTGGTAAGTTGTTTGTTGTTGTTGTTAAGTGTTGTTGGGTGGGTTCCTGTATAGGGTTTCCGAGGAGTGGCTGGTGTGGGTTAATGCACTGGACTGCAAAGTTGTTTTGAACTGCAAGGTCAATGGTTCAATCTCGCCAGCTGCTCCACTTGATAAGTTAGGTCAAGTTAGTAAATGCTGAAATCAGTTACTGTAGAGTGTTCATTATCAAAAGTTTGACAGCTGCATACTTAAGTACTTAACAATGAAAATACATCAGTTACGTGATGTAAATCAGTTTTATGACCTCAGTATTATATTTCTCAGTATTTTATTTCTGTAACATTAAGTTGTAGCAGTATTCTAGTATTTAATTGTGTATTTGTGATATAATTACATAAACTTTTTTTTTTTAAGCTGAAGCTTTGGCTTTGATTGCACAAGATGAAGAAGAATTTAATAAAGAACATCAGTTTATGCAGGTTTGTAATTATTTACAGTAACCATAATTTTAAAATTGCTTTTCAAATTAACTTAAAAGTAAGCAAAGTATTCATTTCTTTCGGAATAGCTATATAGTGTAGGATTATTTCTTTTTCTTGTATTTAGATAATTTCTGCTTTTTTCTCTAAACTCTAAATTGCTACTTCAAAAATACTATAATACTTGAAATATATATGTATTCCTATTAAAATCTCCTTAATAGGCTTCATAGATAGTTCCATAGATTTTATCCATTTTTTGTAATGAGATAATCTTATTTGGTTTCAGTGCAGATCTACTCTTTGAAAAAAAATAATTAGTGGAGATCAATGTTTGGTTAGTCAACATAATAAGACAATGTATATTATAAATAATCTCAAGCAGTTCAAAACGGAATTTCTCTTATGAATTTCATTACCTTTATTTGCAGCTTACACTGGAATTTTCTATTTTATTTTTAAATAGAAATTTTTATAAATTAAGTTTTTTGGGTTTGCATATTGCTCGGGGGAGGAAAGTAACACCAACTTTTTTCTTTTTAGGAAGAAAATATGGATGCCCAGAACACTTCAGTTGCATTAGGGGATATGTCCTGGGGAGCTTCATTTAATTTTAATCTGTTGAGGAAATCATTTAGCACATCAGATTTGGACAAAGATGATGCCAGTTATTTACGTCTGTCTTTAGGAGAATTCTTTGCTCAAAGATCTGAAGCTCTTGGTTGCCTTGGTGGTGGTAACAACGTGAAAAGAGTAAGTGTGAGATGTGCTGCAAGTGGCTACACCAGAGAATAGTGTCTTTCAAGCAGACACAGGTTGTTGTTGTGAAGTGACTTGTAGCAACCCTGCACAGGGTTTTCTGAGGCTTCCTCCCAAGGAGTGACTGGTAAGACTCAAATCACCGACCTTGTGGTTTGTAATTCAGTGTTCATCCTATGGAGCCACCACACTCCCCAGAGGCACAATGGTGGTAGTGGTGTTGGGTGATGTGCTGTGGAGTCAGTTCAGACTCATAGCGACACTTTATAGGAGTTCTGGGGCTATAAATTATTACTGGAACAGAAAGCCTCATCTTTCTTCTGTGGAATGGCTAGTAGTTTCAAAACTTCTGACCTTGAGGTTAGCAGCCTGACTAGTAACCACTATGGGACCAGAGCTCCAGAGGCACAATAGAGGCATTATAATATAGTGATTAATAAGTTTAGGACTGACTTTAGATCTAGCACTGCCTTTTAACTAATTATATAAAATTGAATGTATTATTGAATTCCTCTATGCCTTAATTTCCCTACTTCTAAAAATGGGGTGATGTTTCATAGGGATTTAAAACCATAGTCCTGATGTGATGCTATAGGATAAAGCACTGGGCAGCAAGGTCATTTGAACCACAAGGTTAGCGGTTCAAACTCACCAGCCACTTCTTGGAAACCCTATGAGTTGGAACTGACTTGATGGCATTTAACAACAACAATTTATTCTGTAAAATAGAATATCCTTATAAGGTAGGAGACCTGGGGTGATACCTATCTTTAATGCTCTTGGATGCTAACGGAAAGGTTGGAGGTTTGAACCCACTCAGAGGCGCCTTAGAAGAAAGGTGTGGTTATCTACCCCTTAAAGGATAAAGAGTCCTGGTGTGGTGCTGTGGGTTAATGCACCAGACTGCAAAGCTACGTGAACTGCAAGGTTGGCGGTTCAAGCTCACCAGCTGCTCCTTGGAAACCCTATACAGGGTCGCTATGGGTCGGAATTGACTCAACGGCACTCAACAACAACAGCAAAGATAAATCATGGAACACATTTTTGCTGTCATACAGATAGGGTTGCAGTGAGCCAGAGTCAACGCAATGATAACTGGTTTTTGGTTTATAAAATGAATTCCAGGATGGCAGAAAGTTTTATCTCCCCTCTCCCAGTCCCACCTCCACCTGCCCCAATATGCTATTGAGATTAGAGTTAGTGCCTGGCACTTAATAGGTACTCAGTAATAGTTTTTGAGGGAATGAAATATAATTTCTGAGTGGTTTTAATTTGGCAGTCTCAGTAAATAAAACCCATTTGATAATATTCTGATTATTCAAAGATATCTTAGGAAATCTAAGATACTCTCTGTACTTTTTAAATTCTTCGTTAGTAATTTTAGATTAAGTGGGGAAAAGTGTTGTGTGTTGCTGAAGTCATTTAGTTACTGGTATGAAGACCAAATAATTTAGAATTTTTAAAGTAGCTGGTAAGTAAGAAAATAACTCATATTTATTTATTTTGTAGCCATCATTTGGTTACTTTATTAGATCCCCAGAGAAGAGAGAACCTATTGCTTTAATAAGAAACTCTGATGCATCAGAAAGCAATTTGGAAAAAGAAGTGGCTCATCTTAACAATAATACATTTGCAGGTAATTCATTAAATAAAGGGATTTTAAGGACCTTGTTTTTTCCTGTAACTTACTGTTTGCTTCATTATGTCCTTTATGAGTGTAAATGTCTGCAGTCAGTCCTCCAACCTCTGGCTTACATATAACCCTGTAAAGCCTATTATATTAAAAATACAAGTACAATACAATAATAACAAACAGGTGCTACTTTGTGAAGTGAACCAACATTATTATTATTACAATATTATTATGTTAAAGATGTTTTAGTATATCTGGAGTGTTTCTTTAATGTTTTTATACATAGAGAGGTATGTTGTTATGGTTATGTGTCATCAAGTGAGTTTGAACTCAGAGATCCTGTATAGGTTCTCTAGGAGCAGCTGGTGGATTCTAACTGCCAACATTGTGGTTCGCAGTCCAGTGCTGATCCTACAGTGCCACACTAAGGAGTTCTATAAAGGATAAGCATTGACTGACTGACTTTAGGTAGGAACCCAATTCAACTTAAAGAGAAACTTAGCAACAGAACTCATTTGCAATCTGGGGATTGCTTGTATATCACTTCAAATTTTTCAGTTTTGGTTATGGATTTGATTTACATGTTAACCACTGAATTACAACCATTATATTCTTTATTTAGGTAAACATTTAGTGAAAGAGATATTTTGAGACTTAGACTTGTTGTTGTTAATGTGATTTCAAGTCAAATCTAACCCATAGCGACCCTGTATAGATAGGGTTTCCAAAGAGCGGCTGGTGAGCTTAAACCACTAGCCTAGTGGTTAAAACCGACTTTGCAGTCCAGCCCATTAACCCACAGTGCCACACCAGGAGTCTGAGATTTAGACTAGGATACTTCAAATGTGATAAATATATATGCTATTTAAAATCAAACTTCTTGAGCAGCACACAATTATTGAGCAGCTACTTTTTACTAGTACAGTGCCTATGCCACATAACATGTGGAGCTGTGGTGCTGTAGGATAAAGCAAAGTAACTTCATGTCTTAAAGACCATGCAGTCTACTAGAAGAGGAGATCAAGAGTTTTTATTTATAGTTCGTTGATTTTCTCTTGCTGTAAAGAAGTACTCACTTTTGGATTCAACTTACTATATATTTGTGAAATATTAAATGGGTTTATGTGAGTATTTACAAAGGAGAAATTAAAATATACAATCTTCCTTCAAACTTTAGACTTTACAGGATTTACCCCATTACCAGTACTTTTTTCTTTTGTCCTAGTGACTATGGTTTTAAATAGTTTTTATCAGAATAATTGATGACATTGGTATATAAAGATTTCTTCCCATGCAGTTAATGATTTTGATTGGACCTTATCATAAAGAGATAAGTATGCATTTGTAAGCTGAATGTTGTATCTTGTCTGTAGGAGGTTTAAATGAGCCATCAAAGGCACAACTAAGTGAAGCAACAATTAAACTTACCGTTGAAGAATTGGAGAGTACTTCACAAGAAAATGAATGTGATATGACATTAACTACTAATAAAGACATAGTGGAGGTATTTTGTGCTTTTTATGTGCTTTTAAGATCAAGAGATGGTCACATATGAAAAATATGTATACTTTCTCTCTGAATTCAATTTTATTGTAAGTTCCTTAAATTTTTAAAAACATTTTCATTAATGGAAAATAGTATACAAAATAATTTATGAACTAAACGTAACAACCTCATGGATTATGTCAAAGTGCACACTGTATATTCCAGAGCAAGAAATAGAACATTACCAACACCCCAGAAAGTACTTTTTGCCCCCTCCCTCCCTTACCTGACTTTTAACATGTTATTAATTTTACCTGATATAGTTCTTTCTGTGAACGGGAGCATTTAGAACATACTTTCCTTTGATTTCTTTCACTTCACCTTATATTTGTGAGAATCAACTATGTTGTTAAGTATAATAGTATTCATTACTGTATTTTATCCTATGAATATTCCACAATTTATGTATTCATTGTCATTTTGGTGGACATTTGGTATCTTTCCACTATTGGTTATGTTAGGTGCCATCAAGTTAGTTCCAACTCATAGCAACCCTATGTAAAACCAAAAGAAACACTATTATGTTTGAGTTTCTGTTGTAGCCACTGTGTTGACTCTCCAGTTTACCAAGAGGGACTGGTTCCTCTTGGTAACATGTCTTAAAGTATGAGAGATAAACTCTTGCCATTATTGTTTCCAAGGAGTAGTGTGACTGTTTTGAGGTTTTTTGTTATTAGGTGTCATTAGTCCATTTCAACTCATAGCCACTGTATGTTCAACAGAACTAAGCACTGCTCGGTCTTGCTCCATCCTCACAAGTGTTATGGTTGATCTCATTGTTGCTGCCACTATGTCAGTCTGTCTTGGGGGATGGGGGGAGGTCTTCCTCTTTTCTGGTGACCCTCTACTCGTCCAAGCATATGATGTCCTTTTCTAGGAAATGCCCCCCCCCCTTAAGCATATCCAAGCTATAAGAGATAAAGACTTGCCATACTCACTTCTTTTTTTTTTTTTTTCTTAAATGTTTTATTGTGAATTATGTGGTAGTTTACATGGGAGAACATTAGTTTTACGTTCATTCTATCGTATATCGTCTCATTGCCATGGTTACAATCCCCTCCATGCATCATCAACCAACCAAAGGGTATACCCTGCAAGCCTGCCCCCCATACCCCCCAGGTCTTCAGCACACAGTCGCTGTCCCTCTCTGGATCTAAAGTCTCCAGCTGCTCCATCGCTCCACGTCATCATCTCTGGCTCCATTTCAGGCATCACTGCTTCTCTGGGTAGGGTCCCGCTCTCTGCTCTTCTCCCTTGATGGTCCTAGGGACCTCCGCTCCTAGACTGAAAAGTTATTCACTCCTGTCCTTGCTATAAAACATCTACCTTTACATTTCCAACCCTCACAATCAGTCCTGATAACAATTATTCACTATTGTATCACAAAGACCCGTCTGCATTTCATTACATCAGCCCTACCTAGACAGATTGAATGCTACTCATTGGAGATTCTACCTTCCTCCAGGCCCTCTGTATCTAGGTTCCCTCTTGAAAGCTTGTAAGCCAGTGACTTCTTGCCTTTGTAGCTCCCTGCCCCCCATTTTGTTAAGTGTCATGGAGTCAATACTGACTCATAGGGTTTCCAAGGCTGCATATCATTGCAGGAACAGAAAGCCTCATCTTTCTCTCATAAAATCTTTTGTAGTACTTTTAAATAAGGTTAAATTAATATGCACATGTGTATGGAACTGAGGTAAATTATATGATGTGAATTTTCTTATCTCTAGGACAGTTTCATAATGAACAGCAAGCCCAGAAGATACAAGGATAAGCTTTCTGATAGTGACGATTCTGTACTTAGAATAAGCACCATTGCTTCAGCCATTGCAAATGCATCTGTCTCTACGGATTCTTCCCAGCTTGCTGCCATGATAAAGTCACTTTCAAATCCAACCAGAGTGAAGATTTTTCAAGAAGATAATAAGCAAAAAGATATATCTAATGTGTCTTGTTTCTTACCTAATGATTTAGAAAAAAGTAATGACTGCAATGCATTTGATATTGAAAAATACCTTAAGAAAACAGAACTTAGTAGATATGAAGTTGGATTGGAAAACTTTTCTAGATCTGATGTGTCTAATATTTGCAATTTATCTTTGCCAAAAGAAGAGACTACACAAGCTACCCATATGGTGGACTTAGGTGCTACTAACCTAAATAGAACAGAACCAGAACAGAACACAGCAGCTCTTCCTAGTAAAAACAGAGAGAACAAGAACAAGGAATCATTTAGAATTACAAACTCTTCAAGTTCAATTATTACTAATATAAAAGAGAATGATAGCACAAAAGTTGATATAAAGACGCATTCCAGTGGCACCAAATTACTAGCTGTTGGTAACAGTGTAAATACTACCTCAGTTTCCACTCCAACATCTGATAGTTACTCACTACTAAGGAACTCCACACTGACATCCATTTGTCTGTTAAATAAAAGTGAAGAAATACAAAATAATAGAGAAAATCAGGGGCAAAATGAGTATCTTAGTGAATCAAGCAACAATGAAAAACATGTGACTTTTGAAAAACATTCCTCTTTCTCACCTGAAAATTTTGGTAAGTTTGAGAGTAATTGATCACATTCACAAAATTGCAAAGTTTTTTTATTTTGTTTTGTTTTCCTATTCTTATTGAAAAATGCACCTTTTTGATAGATTTGGAAGATACCTCCCCTGAGCGTGGTGGACATGGTTCAGAGGATGACCAGGATAGCTTTAAACCCTCAACTTCACCACTGAGTCATTCTTCTCCTAGTGATGTTTCTAGAACAACTGTATCAGGGTAGGTGGTGGTGCTGTTTCTTTTTTCAATAATAAAAAGAAGTACGTAATATAGGGAATGTGGGAGGAAAAGGATAGTGAAGAAAATAATTTATATGTCCATTACTCAAAGGGTCTAACCATTATGAATATTTCATGACTTTCTTTCCAGCTTTTTTTCTGTACTGATTTATATATTCTGTTTTTTTTTCTACTTCTTATATTCATTTTCTGTATTTAAAAGAAAGTTAATAATATTATAGGCTGCATAATGCATCTGTCATGGGTTTTTCGATACTTCTGATAAATATTATCTTACTTAAGCCTTTTTACTACTGTCATGATGAGATGAAAACAATGCTCGTAAAATTCTGTGTTTTGACTGACTTCTTACAAGTGAAATTACTAAGTCAGAAATAATAATACTTGGTTCTCTGTGGATTCCCTGGGCTGCACAGTTAAGTGCTAGACTACAAGATGCAAATGGTTGTTCTAATCCTCCTCCCAGAGGTTCCTTAGAAGACAGCTCTGGCAAAAAATAATGATGGTAATACATTGAAAATTGAGAAATACCATAAGAAAACAGAAGCTAGTGGGTCACAGCTAGGGAAAATTCTATGTAGAATTCTACTCTGCACACATGGGTTGCCATGAAATGAAATCACCTCAATGGTAACTAACAGCGATATATTAACAAATTACTATCTTTTCTTTTTAAAGCTTTTATTGTGGATTGAGTGATAGTTTATAGGGCAGATCATCAATTTTACACTCAACCAATCATATTTTGTTTCATTGCAATGATTACAACCCCTTCCATGAAACATTGGTTAACAGTATATACCTCTATTCCATTTTTAAAATGTAATCTCCATAAAACACACAAAAAATATATATTCGCTTAAAGAACCGAAGGGTACATTTAGCAAGCCAGTTTCCTGCTCACCTGCACACAACCTTACTCATTCCATGGGCCGAGAGTCCTCAGCTGCTCTTCTATCTCTATTCCATTGCCTCTGCTTCCCTCTCTGAGGTCACTGTTTCTCTGGTTAGGATCCCATGCTCCACTCCTGCTCTTCCCTCTTAATGGTTCTAAGGTCCTTTGTTCCTGGAATGAAAGATTAACTACTCCTACCTTTTTGTTACACATCTTCTAACTTTGTAGTTGTGACAATCTCAAATTAGTCATGGTAACAGTTACTCACTATTGAATCAAAAGAATCCTATCTCTATCCCCTTTCACCAGACCCATCTAAACAAGAGGAAAAATGTTAAGTGGGAATTCTATCTTACCCCTCCTGTTCTGAAACTAAGCTCACTCATGAAAACTTATAAGTCAGTATCTTTGTGCTATTATGTAGTTGTTAAGTACCATCTAGTCAGTTCTGACCTATAGGGACCTTTTATAGGATTTCCAAGCTGTGACTGGTGAGCTTGAACCACTGACCTTGCAGTTCAAATGGCTTTGCAGTCTGGCACATTAACCCACAGCGCCACACCATGACTCCTTTATACCCCATTTTTTAGTAGCCAATGTCTTAAGTCGCCTGTCCCTGTCAGCAAATATTTTTTTTTTAAAGTACTTTAAAGATTTGTACTCTTCCCATCCTATATATTTTCTTAGAATTTTAATTCACTTAAAATTTTGTATAATTTAATCTTAATTGTTGGCTCTGTGGTTTAAGCGTTGGGCTACTAACTGCAAGGTTAGTAGTTCTAAACCACCAGCCACAATGCGGGAGAAACATTAGGCTTTCTGCTTCTGTAAAGATTTAGTCTTGGAATCGACTCTATGGCAGAGAGTTTGAATTTAGCACCTTAAAGTTTAACTTGCATTTTTAATACTTATTCGGTAGCGTAGTGGTTACGAATCAGGCTGTGAACCGCAAGGTCAGCCGTTCGAAACTACCAGCTGTTCCGCGGGAGAAAGATGAGGCGTTCTGCTCCCGTAAAGATTAACAGCCTTGGAAACCCTGTGCAGGGTCGCTATGAGTCAGAACCGACTCCACGGCACATAACAACAACAACAACATTCTGGAGTTCTGGTGTGGTGCTATGGACTAGTACGTCAGATTGCAAAGTTGTTTAAACTGCAAGGTTAGTGGTTCAAGCTCACCAGTTGCTCCTTAGAAACCGTATACAGGGTCTCTATGGGTTGAAATCAATTCAGTGGCACTTAACAACAACAATTCTGAGATTGGTATGTACTTTTTGAAGGGTTGGAATAAATAAGAACTTTATAAAGTTTAAGTTTTTGAGAAAAATTTACATTCAAAAATTAAACACATAAATAAAAAAATAAAAAAAAATTTTCAGTGTAAATTTATTGTCTTTTCACATAACATATGTGTATGAATATATTTCTCTCATATACCTGGGAAGTAAATAAGTGCAAGCAAATATTCTTATTGGGTTTTCCTTCTTATATACAATGTAGTTTATTATATACAATGTAGGCTATTATTGTTGTTGATGTTAAGTGCTATCAAGTCGGTTCCATAGAGCAACCCTGTATAGAGTTTCCAAGGAGCAGCTAGTAAGCTTGGATCGCTGACATTGCGGTTCAAACTGACTTTGCAATCCAGCACATTAACCCACTGCGCCATACCAGGACTGACTCTGTAAGTTATTACATACTCTTTATCTTTTGACTTATGATTTATGGTTACTTTGGACATGTGCAGGTTTATGTGTATGATAAATGTAGGGAAGGTGTATATATTCATATTCATACTTAAATTAGTTTAGAATCCCTCCAAAGGGATTGTGTCAATGTAAATTTCAACTGATGTTTCAGGAGAGGGCCTGTTTTTCTGCAGCTTCACAAACAAGATGTTTATCTAGCTTTTTGATTATTGATAATCTTATAACATGAAATAATGGTATTTCCACTTACAGTAATTTTGATTTCAGGTTCTTTTATCATGCTTGACAATGTGCATCTTTTCCAAAATATTTAAATTTCCATTTCTGTCAAATATCTACCCATGTTTGTTGCCTATTTTATTCATGGACAGTTTATATTTTATTTACTGATTTGTAGGTGGGCTATATGTATAGGTCCCTTTTTTTTTTTTAAGGTTTTTATTTTTATTGTGTATTGAGTGAAGGTTTACAGGGCATATCATCAGTCTTACATTCAACAAATCATGCACCTTGTTTCATTACAATGATTATAATCCCTGCCATATACCATCAATTAACAGTATTCCTCTTTATTCACTTTAGCTATTTAAAAAAAGAAAAAACCACTCAGGCATATATAATAATTTACACCTCCAAAGAGCACTTTCTGCAAGTCTGCGTCCTGGCCACTGGCTCTTAGTCCTGTTCTACCTATGAATCTAGAGTCCTCAGCTGCTCCCTCTTTCCATGTCCCCATCTCTGCCTCTGTCTCTGGCGGCGCTGCTTCTCTGGATAAGGTCGCGCATTCTGTTTGTGCTTTTCTCCCTTGATGTTCTTAGGGTTGTCTGTTTCTCGACTGTAAGATTAATCACTCCCTGTTTTTATTACTAAACTTCTACCTTTACAATTGTGACAGTCTCAATTAATCATGATAACAGTTATTCACTGTTGAATCAGACAAATCTTATCCCCATCTCTTTTTACCAGACCCATCTAGACAGGATGAAAACTATTCAGTGGGGACTTTTTCTCCCCTCCACACACTCTTAAACTAAACTCCCTCTTGAAACCTTGTAAGCCAGTCACTTCATGCCTTTATTTCCCCCTCATTTTAGGTAACCAATGTCTGAGTTGTCTGTCCTTGTCTACCCTGTGTAAAGAGGGGATAGTGTTGGTACTTGATATGAAGACTCCTTCCCTTTCTGTTGATAGAGTTACTACCTCTATGAGTAGAGGTTAGGTTCATCAAATTGTAGCAATTTACCCTTGCTTCCTTTATCCAAAAAAAAAAAAAATTATTTATTTTTTGTAATCTTCCTCTAGTCGAGTTGATTATCAAGCCGTCGAGGCTAGGTCAAATGGGTATTGTCTACAAGTGTGGGCTTTCTTGTGCATCTCCCCTCACTTCATAATCAGCTGGATGCTTCACTCTCAGCTCTATCCCTCTGTGACTATGTTCTTGCCCATGGGTTCAAGTGTCCCTAGGTCTCACCACACTTAGGACCAACTAGCCCTTCCTCTTCTCTCTAATCTCCAGGTCAATGGGAGTCAATGGAACGTGGTTGAACTCAGCCCATTTCTTCATTGCTGCCTTTCCCCTTCTTCCACTTACCACTTGACCAATGTGGTCACCAGCAAGCTTACATGCCTGTTCATGTGTTCCCTTTGAGTTTCAGTCTCAGAGGGGCGTTTGCCCTGAAAAAACTTGATTGCTTGCCTTGATGGCTTCCCAGCAAACAGCTTGCTTATTATTTTTTTTTTAATGTTTTATTGTGAATTATATGATAGCTTACATGGGAGAACTTTAGTTTTACATTCATTCCATCTTATATCATCTCATTGCCATGGTTCCAGTCCCCTCCATGCATCATCAACCAACCAAAGGGTATATCCCAGAAACCCACCCCCACACTTCCCCCTCTTCCCCCCAGCCTTCGGCCCACAGTCCCTTTCCCTCTCTGGGTCCAAAGTCCCCATTCGCTTCATCACTCCACGTCATCATCTTTGTCTCTATCTCAGGCATCTCTGTTTCTCTGGGTAGGGTCCCGCTCTCGGCTCTTCTCCGTTGATGGTCCCAAGAGGCCTCCGCTCCTATCCTGGAGAATCAATCACTCCCTTCCTTGTTACAAAACTTCCACCTTTGCATTTCCAACCCTCATAATCTGTCCTGATAAGCATTATTCACTACAGTATCACGAGTTACCCATCTGTATCTCCTTTCATCAGCTCTGCTCAGACAGATTGAATAGTACCTACTGGAGATTCTGCCTTCCGCCATGCTCCCATGCACCAGGTTCCCTCTTGAAAGCTTGTAAGCCAGTCACTTCTTGCCTTTGTAGTCCCTCCCTCCCCATTTGAGTATCCAATGTCCAAGCTGCCCTTCTCCGTCCACTCTGTGTGTGTGTGTGTGACTGTTTCTTGCTGTGAGGATTTGTTCCCTCTTTTGAGTCGCTGCTCCATAGGTATAGGTCAAGTTCATCAGACTGTATCAGCTCACTCTTTTTTTTTCCCCCCCTCTTCTTCTCTTCTTTCCTCTCCAGTCATCCAGTCATCCGGTTCAGGTCACATGGGTATCATCTGCAAGTGTGGGCGCTCCTGTGCGTATGTCCTCTCTTCCCGTCAGCCGGTAGCTCCACTCTCCTCTTGAGTCTTCCGTGGCCACGCCACTGACTCTGGGCCCAAGAGTCCCAAGGCCTCTTCACACTGCTTGCCAACAGGTCCCCAACTGGGTCCACAGAAGTCCACTGAACATTGTAAGGCTTAGCTACAGCCTGCTTATTCTTGTAGTAGCCAGTCTTGCTGACATTTTTGTTTTGGAATTTTCCTGATGATCTTTCTTTGAAGATGTATCTTCTGTTGCTTTAAGGTTCCAGGTGGTCTGCTCGTAAAGATTCATTCCCTCTATTAAGCTACTACATCCATAAGTATAGGTCAAGTTCATCAAATTATAGCAGATTACGCTCTTTCTTCTTCTTTCTTCCTGTGGTTGAGTTCTGATCATCCAGCCATTGAAGCTAGGTCAAATGGGAATAAGTATGGGCATTCTTGTGCATCTCCCCTCACTTTATATCAGCTGAATGCTTTACTCTCTGCTCTAGTCGTCTGTGACTATGCCCCTGTCAGTCCCTGTCCATGGGCTCAGGAGTTCCCAGATCTCACCATACTGCTGGCCAAACAAGGTCTCACTCCAGGTTGATTGTATTGAATGTGGTTGCCCTCAGCCCATAGGTTCATTGCTGTTTTTGCCCCACTTCCCCTTATCAGTAGACCAACTTGGTCACCAGCAAGATTACATGCCTGCTTGTGTATTCCCTTTGAGTTTCAGTCTGGGAAGGGGTTTGCCCTGAAGGGCCTTGATTGCTAGCCTTGATGGCTCCCCTGTGCACAACTTGCTTGTTCTTGTAGTAGTCAATCAGATTACTGTTACTGTTTTTGATTTTTCCTGCTGGTCTTTCTTTCAAGAAGTATCTGCTCTAGGTTGGTCTGCTTGTCTTTTCAAGTGGAAAATTCCCACCTCAGAAGATTCTGCATAGGGATCAAGATTCCACCTAAGGTCTTATGCACTGCAGAGGCTCTGCATGAAGCCTCTTTTACTGGGCAAGTTCTAGCACTCCTTTTAGGTATTCTAATCAGTTATAGGTTGAAGACAGACTTACAAGCTTTCTATATTCATGTTTCTGGCTATTCCTTTCTTTCCCCCTTAAGTGTCTATTTTACAGTAGTAGGCAAGGGAAACCAAGATTCATAAGACAGTCAAGCATCTTAACATTATCTCCCCTCTTTTACCCATTCAGATTATGTCTGAATCCATGTATCATAGAGCCCTGTTGTTCCAAGGTTGAGCATACATCACTATTTACTTCTGTCCAAATTAGCCTATGCAAACCTGCCTAAATGTTCTCCCAACTGCCTTGTTCTTCCAGTCCCTCCCCCTTCTTGTGTATTGTCCTCCCCCAAACACCCAAACTATTGTTTGTCTATTCCCTATCCTTACCCTTACCCCACCCCCTCTTACACCACTGGTAACCAACAATGAATTTTTTTCCTCCCTTTTATTGTGAGTATTTGTTCTTAAGCTTTTACAATAATGCTCTTATGCAGTATTTCTCCTTTTGTGAATGACTAATTTCACTCAGCATTATGTCCTCAAGGTTCATCCATGTTATGTGGTAGCTTAGAGCTTCCTTGTTATTCCTCAAGGTATCATAATATTCCATTGTGTGGATGTACCAAAGTTTGTTTATCCCTTCTTCCACTGATGGGCACTTCGGCTGTGTCCCATCATTTTGTTACTGTAAATAATGCTGCTATGCACATTGGTGTGAATATATCTACTCATGTTATGGCTCGTATTTCTTTTGGATAAATACCAAGTAGAGGTATTGTTGGATCATAAGGTATTTCTACTTCAAATTTGGTAAGTTTATTTTTAATAGGTTTGATCTGTTAATTTTTTGTAGCTTCATTAAAACTTTTATATATATCTCTTTTGCAAAATTAAAAATAAAAGAGAAAACTTTGCCTAATAAGTAATATTATTAAAAAGTTACATGTGTTTTAAATTTGTTTCAAAATAATCAAATATTAAATAATTACCTGTTTATTAAACAATTAATTTAATATTTTAAAGATATTAAAGTGCTATTAAAGAGGAGTCCTGGTGTGGCTCTTCGGGTTAATGCACTTTACTGCAAGGTCACTTTGAAGAGCAAGGAAGGCAGTTAAACTCACCAGCCGCTTCTTGGAAACCCTATATAGGGTCGCTATTAGTAGGAACCGACTCGATGGCACTTAACAAGAACATACTGATTCCACTCAACAGGTGCCGTTTCTCTCCTTCTCATTCTATATCAGTTGACTCTTTACTGATACTGAGCAATAGAATACGTTATAAGTAACGTGTGTATGTGTGTGTGAGAGAGAGAGATAAAGAGAGTTGGGAATGAAGAGAAGGGAAGGGGGAAGACCGAGAGAGAAAATACATGTTGTATCTTATTACATCCTATTTTTAAATTGTATTTTAGTTAGCATCTTATGAATATTTTTTTGAGTCATAGGATAGTATTCTACAACATGATATTTGATGGTTGTCTAGTGTTTTGTTATGTAGTTTTGCCTTAATTTCTATAACCTAGTTCTTCTTATAAAACATTTAATGTTTCTTATGAGAGAGCTCTGGTAGCGTAGTGGTTATGAATCGGGCTGTGAACCTTAAGGTCAGCGGTTCAAAACTACCAGCTGCTCCGCGGGAGAAAGATCAGGCTTTCTACTCCCGTAAAGATTTGCACCCTCGGAAACCCTGTACAGGGTCGCTATGGGTTGAAACCAACTCGACGGCACTTAACAACAACAACAACAATGTCAATATCAGGAGTCCTGGTGTGGCGCTGTGGGTTAATGCGTCAGACTGCAGAGTCATTTGAACTTCAAGGTCAGTGGTTCAAGGTCACCAACCACTCCTTGGAAACCCTATACAGGGTCGCTATGGGTCGTAACCCACTTGATGGCACTTAACAACAACAACAACATGTCAATATCAATAGTGATGAGATGATGTTTTCTTTAGTTAACAGTTTATTATTGGATCCCAGGTGGCACAGTGAATAAAACAGTTGACTGATAACCATAAGTTAGTTTGACGCCACCAGATGGTCTGAGGAAGAAAGATGTAGCAGTCGATTTCTGTAAAGATTATCGCCTTGGTAACCTTTCGGAGTAGTTCTACTTTGTCCTATGAATTATTATGAATTCAGAATTGCCTCAACAGCAGTCAGTTTAATTTACATTTATGGTTAATTTTTCTCTTTATGTTAAGTATCTAGGCGTAGAATATCTGAATAAAGGGATATGCTTTTAAAATGCAATGTTTAATCACTCAGCCAAAGATTTTGTCATTGTATCTTCTGTATCAGCTGTATGTGACTTTTCTCATTTCATTGTACTTACCCTACATGATTCTTTTTTTAAAATCTCTGCACTTTGAGATCTGGACTTCTTTAATACTTTATTTATTTCTGTTCAGCGCTTTGTAATTTTTATTGAATGATTAACATTGTTATGCTGTGATGCGATGGTATTTTAAAGGACACAATTTTCTCGTAATGGTAGCATATCAGATACTACCATTCATTAGGAATACAGTGCACCATTTTAGATGACTAAATGTAAAAAATGAATTTTTGGTTAAGCTGTTATATAGGCAGCTAAAGCAGAGCTCATCAATTAACAAGATTGTAGACAAGTAGAAGTGGCTTTTTTGCTAATGGAGATAATGTTAAAGGAATGAATAACTCCAATCATGAGGTTTTAATCTCTCTTCTAGGTGTGCTTTAGAATGTTTGAGTTCAACCACGCATTCTCAGAAGCCCTCCAATGAGAGTGTGTTGTGTCAGTTGGCATGCTCCTGTGCTAGTGTGCACAGGCTGACTGACCTGTCAGAGCAGGAGAGCAACTATCCTGTCTCAATCATAGATTACAGCCATGAGGACTATCAGGTAGGCAGACATCTTTATTATTATTTTATAAGGCTTTAGCTAAAAAATGTCACTGATGTTTGATTTTGACTGAAGATCTGACCTGCACACTTTAGTTGATATTTAACCTTTTACACCAATATGTGTGTGTTTACTTATCAGATAGCTACTCAAATGAGTATGCATTAGGATTACAAACAATATAGTGCCTGTCTTCTTTGGGCTTTCAGTTGGTGGAGAACACTAATGGCAGTACATAGTTGTGCCTGGTTTGCTTACACTACCATGTACTATGGGAATGCAGAGGTAAAGGGCAGTATGGTTTGGCAAAGGATTATTGAAGGAGAATGTACAGAAGGTATATTTTTCAGGGTTGCTTGTAGTTAGTTAGTCAAGTAAGAAGCCGAATAACATAGAGGGGAAGGCATGGCATTGTGAGATACATACTACATTTGAGGAGCTCCAAAATTTTGAGAGCAGCTGCTGTGAGTCATATATGGTTGATGTGTAGGAGATGAAGATAGAAAAGAAGGAGTGTTCAAGCTACAAAAGTCTCGTATGTAAAATTTGGGAGTTTGAGGACTGTTAAGCAGAACACTAACATGATCCGTTTTGCTATTTTAAAAGCTCAACCAAAATCATTGTCAAGAAGGGAGTGAAACAGAGCAAGATTCAAATTGGGAAGATTTGACATAAGTTTTCTTGTCATTTAGGATAGAGGCAGTATTGTCTTGAAGGTCCTGACATTAATGATGTGAGGAAAACAAATCTGAGAATCTTATGTTATTTATTTGTGTGCATGTGTGTGTATTTTGTGACTGTGACAGTATTTCATTTTTTTTAATGAGCTGAATATGACTATTGTGAGTATGCCATATAAGCTGCCTCTACTAAGTTACTGCACATAAGCACTGATGTTATTAAATGTCATCTTAGACAACACATTATGTCATCACTTTTAGTTAAAGCTGGTTTTTAAAAACTTTTTTGACAAATCAACTTAATTTTAAGGTGTAATTGATAAACAGTTAATAAAAACACTCATTTAAAGTGTACTGTTTGAGGAGTTTTGAAAACTGCAAGTATCCACCATCCCAATCAATAGTTCCATCATCAAAAGATGCCCTCATACTCCTTTACAGTCAGATGGTCACTGTCCCATCCGACTCACTGAGTTGCTTTCTGCCACAATAACTTACCTTAATCTTTTTTAGAATTTCATACGAATGAAATACTTTTGTATATACATTTTTGTACACCTGGCTTCCTCTGCTTAGCATAATGTTTTTCACTGTTTTGTTTTTGTTTTTTACTGTCAGTTCACTGAAGGTTTATAGAGCAAACCACTTTTCAGTTCTACAATTCATACATATTTTGTTTGATATCATTACGTAGCATTAAGTTATAACACTTCTTCCCTTTGTTTCTTGCTTTCACTTCCTTCTTCTTTCTTATCTGCTCCTGTCTTCTGTGCTTTATCCCATGGCAAATGCTGCTCTTTTGATCTTGTATGGTTGATTTTGTAGGAGAGAGAATACCTTCTTAGTTGCTTACATGGGAGATCTGTCTATTTTTTGGCTGAAAGTTCCAGATTTGAAGGATGACTAAGGGCCATAGTCACAGTGGTTCTACCAGTCTCTATCCAACCAGTAAACCTGGCCTTTTTTTGGTATGATTTGAGTTTTCTTCCAAATTTTTTTCCCATCTTGTATAATGTGATTCCTTTCAGAGCTGGGATCTATCTCGTTCATCTGGCCTCAGGATTATGAAGGCTGATTTAGTATGGTTTGTTAGTTGGTTGGACTAATTGGCAGTTAAGATGTAGTAATCCTCTCTGATAAGATCTGCTGTGAGCAGCCAGTATATTGAAAGGAAGTTTCCTTATGGTTGTGGTCTGTTTCCAAGATATGAGACACTCTGTCAAAGCTTGCTTGCTCTTTGCTGGGTCTGGATCTTGTTTCTGGTTTGTTATCCAACTACCGGTTCTTTGAACTCAAGCCAGTGACCTACTGTATTGTCTACCAATCCTGAGAGTTGTCAGTAGCCTGCCACTTTATCTGCCAACTTTGGATTCATTCACTTCTGCAGCCAGAAACCTGTTCTCTGACTTGCTGATCTTGAGGTTATCAGCTCCTGCAGCTACATGAGTCATGACATCTAATCCATGGACTTGGAACTTGCCAACCTCTACAACTGTGTGAGCTATTTCTTGATATAAACCTGGTGGCGTAGTGGTTACGAATTGGGCTGCTAACCTCAAGGTCAGTAGTTCGAAATTACCAGCTGTTCCACTGTAGAAAGAAGAGGCATTCTGCTCCCTTAAAGATTTGCAGCCCCGGAAACCCTGTGCAGGGTCACTATGAGTCAGAACTGACTCCACAATACTTAACAACAACAACTATACATGGGAACATGGTGATTTGTAGGATAAGCCTTGGACTGTAAAACCAGAAGGTCGGTGATTTGAGCCAACAGCCACACAATGAGGAAAAAAAACGAGGCTTCTGCTCCCACAAAAGATTTTTAAAACCTCAAAAGCCCTGTACAGGGTTGTTACGAGTCAAAACTGACTGACTCGCCAGCACTTAACAACAACAATATATACATCCTAGTGTGGCACTGCAGGATAATGCTCCAAACCACAAGGTCGGTTTGAATCTCATGGTCGGCAGTTCAAACTCCTCAGAAACACTACACAGGATCACTATGAGTCAGAATTGACTCAATGGTATTTAACATCAACAAGCTTTGCTGGTTTTGCTTCTCTAGAGAACCCAGCCAAGACATTTGGTACTGGGAGTGGTTTGAGAGAAACAAAATCATCAGGATAAGTTTTCTAATCTAACTTGTTTTAAGTTATTGATAACTCTACTTCAGTTAGTAAAGTGGGTGCTCCTAATCAATGGTATGAGGTCACAATGTTAATATGAAAAATATCACCACCAGTAGATCAAGTATTGGTGACAAGCAAGATTCTGATTATTTTTTTGCAATGTTTTCAAAATTACAAGTATAGAGGAAAGTTTGTTGGTTGGTTATGCTTACCCTAGTTGTTGTTGTTGTTAAGTGTCATGGAATCGGTTCCGACCCATAGCGACCCTGTACAGGGTTTCTGGGGCTGTAAATCTTTATGGGAGCAGAACGCCTCATCTTTCTCCCGCGGAGTGGCTGGTAGTTTCGAACTTCTGGCCTTAAGGTTTGCAGCCCAATTCGTAACCACTACGCTACCAGAGCGCCTTATGCTTACCCTAAACCACGTGGTAAAAGAAGGAGACCAGCTCATGGCTTCAGTTACAGCTGAAGCATAGCGTAAAACCCCTAAAAGTTTCCATTTGTGCTCTTGAGTGAAAGCCTTATTTCTTGTAGTGGCAGAGCTGATATTGCTGAAAACCGGAGTTTTATCATAAATGTGTCTGAATTACAATGCCAGCTGAATTTCCAACCTCAGATGGTGCTGATGTTAAAGTGAGTGGTATTGAAATGGGATCTTCAAGCTTGGAATGGGACATATGGGCAGATAATCAGGAAGCTAAGGACATTGGGCCCCTAAGTTCTTTGAAACACTCTTGCCACCAGCACTACCTCTCCTATATGAAGAGATTACTCCATCTTTGTCTGCTGATTCATTATTGTAGAACCATTATCCACTTACTACATTTGATGAGATTAACCCAAGTCTGCCGGTTGAAATGGTGTCTGGGCATCTCCTGAGACAAAATTTTTACAAGACATTGCTGACTATTTCCAGGAAACCTCCAGCAATTATTGCTTCTAGATCTATTTGTTGTTAAGTGCTGTCAAATCAGTTCCAACTCTTAGCAACCCTGAATAGGTTTTCTGAGGAGCAGCTGGTGGGTTTGAGCCACTGACCTTGCTGCTCAAACTGACCTTGTGATTGAGTTCCTGTCCCTAACTGGGCTTTAAGTCCTAGCGAGCCCTGAAAAGTGAAGTACAAATTGTGACCCAGGAAGAAGTAAAAATTCAAGCAGTTTTCTAAAATGTACAAAAGTAGTTTGGAGAATATATGTAGGAATGGCTATTAATGGTGTGGAATAATTGTTCAAGGAACATAAAATTGGATCAGTCTGTTATTTATTTTCTTCTCATTGACAATATAATTTATTACACACCAAAAAAAAAAATGACTAAAAAATATTCTCATTACTTCACTAACACAAATAATAAATATCACTTATAAGTTATTTAGTCTAACGCAGAAAATAATTTTAAAATTACTAAAACAGAGTCTGTAATCCAATACAAAATTTTTGCTTTGAAAAGTGACTTACATGTGCTACATTTGATGGTCGGTTAATCCGCTGAATGTCAGCATTATTAGTAATATTTCTCAATATCCACACAGCTGTACTCCCAAGAAGCTATCATTTCTGATCTTTCAGAGCTTTGGAAAGTTTGTCCCGAAGCATTAAATTACCCCGGACATCAGGAGGCAAAATGTTACCTAGGACTGTAGGTACATTGACACATAAATTAATTAATCCAGATTCTTTCCCCTGAGGTAGTCTGTGTTTTGCTGCAGCTAACTGTGGGACTTCAGCTAGGATCCAGTGTAAATTTCTCTCTTGTTTTTCGGGTGGTAAATCTGAAGAATCATCAAACATTAATTCCCCTTTAGATTTTTCAGTGCTTGATTTGGGTGAAAACTGTTGGTCACCTGAGGGTGATCCTTCTTGAGAACTGGCAGGGCTTAATTTTTCATCTGTGCTACCCTCATTTTGAGAATCTTGTTCCTCATTTTCCACCTCCTCCTTCTCTTCTTCTTCATAAATTATTAGGTGAGTGTGATAAAATGCTTCATCTTTTTTAGTTTTATCAGTTATGGAATCCAGGACCCAGTCAGGAGTCACAATTTTAATACTTGCTTACATAAAAACACATTCATATTTTTCACCCTTTGGTTCTGAATAATCAAATGTGTGCACTTCTTATTGAGGTTCAGCTGGCAATCCCCCCCATAGAATGTAACCAAAGCCCACAGAGCACTTCAGTCTTCAGATGAT